TAAAATAAAAATAAAAAACCTCCGACAGCCACCCTACACCCACAGGCAGTATCCCTTCTTCCCTCTTTACCGCCAGCCAACCTCCCCTCTTCTCTCTACCCCTCTTTCTCTCTTTCCCCTATCTTGCTGAATAGAATTTGTCCAAGGGGAGTAATCACCTGGTTAGGGATGGAGGCAACATAGTGGTGGATCGTCCGCTTCGTCGATCCTAATGCCCCACAGTCACCACCCCAACACCCAATTTGAAACCCATCAGTAAAGCGTCAACCTCTCAAAACAAAAATTGAAGAGGAGGAGGCAGGTTGGTTGTTGGTGAGAAGGAGGGAGTTTCCTGTAGCGTGCGGTTGGTGGTTAGTTGAATTAATAGGAAAGACAGAAAGTGGGGGAGAGAGAGGAGGGGAGGTTGGTTGGTGGTGATAGGCGGAGGTAGTTGCCTATAGCATGGGTTAAGGGTTCGACCATGGTGTCGTGTGGTTGACCGATAGGTTTCTTATGTTGTTTTTTAAATATTATTTGGACTTCACAGTGTTAACAGAGAATAGTAATTGGAGTTTGACAAGTCATATTATAGGTCAATAGATTATTAGAATGATCGAGATTTGACGAAATATGAGTAAATACACGATTGTTAAATGCAAAGGTTCAAAATTCCCTATTGGGTAAACCCCGATCCATACTTCCCGGCCCCACAATGTGTGTGTAGGCAAATCAAGAACTCGCACAATAACAACAGGATTCAAACAGCTGACCTCTGAGTTTACAGTTGGCCCCAACTCGTCCTTCTGTTGGGGCAAAATTTATGTTGTTGTTCCCTCAAGTAATGAATCTGCATTGTTGGACCCAAAAAATTGAAGTTAACTAAACCTTAAACCCATATTATATGAAATGAAAGGCATGCACTGATGTAAAACAGGACCAGTTGTCCGTCCAGATCCAAGTAATCCACACAATTGCTAACATGTGTCACATAAATATATAATTAATAACATTAATCAGGTTTGTATAGTTCTTTTCTTTTGGTAAAGACTTAAGAAAGACCATATAATATATGTACCACCAAATCGGACGGACCTGCATAGATTAGTATTAAAATAGAAAACCAAAAGGCTACTAGGATTTTGTCAAATTAGGCTTGTATCCATGAAACCCTAGCTGGGAAGATATAGGTTTTTACTGGAATCTCTAGCTATCGGGTTCAATCAATCAGCATTTCCTCTTTTCTTTTTTGTACTTATTTAGCTTCATAGTCCCACTCCCTGTAGCAAACTTTCTTTGTGAACAAATAGCATAATTGGGACTTTTTCCCATATATAATTGGCTGATTCATTTTGTTTGTATGTCAGCCAAGGGTAAGTTACGTATTCCCTTTGAATTTGACAGATTAATACTGTAATTGAATAGTTCCTCTTATCAATTACTAAGAGATATGCTTTGCTGCCAAATCAATGAGTGCCACAATTAACACTAACAAACTCTACAAGGAGTAGCGCAAGTGGTTAAGGCACTCCCCTCATCGCCCAATGATCCTAGGTTTGAAATCTCAAACCCCTTGTAACTTTGAACAAAAAAAATATGTTCGTAAAGAATTTTTCATCTTTCTTGTCAAGTTAGGATTAATGCTTAATTAACTCATAATGTTGTACGGCATCCTAATAAGGGTTAGGATTAGAGTAGAGTTCATTGTTTCTTAACTTTTTAAAAAAAATAATGAAATAAAGAAACCTCCAGGGCATATGCAAAGGAATAACTAAAATAAGTGATGGGCTTTTCATGACTATTGGTAGAAGTTTTAATACATGTCAACATGAAGGGAAGAAGGAATATGAATAACTTCCTTTCAATTGTTTAGATATTTAAATAATATGTAATGTCCAATTAATATATTATAAAATATTATGTGTGGTCTGACATCAGCCTTTCTTTTAGCTTATATAAAGCCATCCACCTCCATTTGAAGATCCATGACTAGTTTAGTTGAGGTGGCAAAGTAATAGCAAGCCTATCTTTTCTCTCTCTCTTCCTCTCTCTCTCTCTCTCTCTGAAGTTCTGTAGTTATGGAGCTAGGGTTACCATGGGACATGGGAAATCTTCCTTAGATTTCATTTCATATTTGATTATTTAGTTTGGTGAAGAGAGCTTTCTTCAGTCCACTCATGGGTAGCAGTAGGATTTAATTAGCTGCCGAGTCATTCATCCAAATACTGGGTAAATTAGCTCAGGACACCCAGTAAATGTGTGAATGAAGCGGGAGACAAATTGGATCTTAAGCTTCCTGTACTTGGACTGAAGGGAGCTCCCTCAACTATATATTTCAATATATTCCTCCACTTAATTATCCTATTTATGTATTTGTTTACCATATCTTAATTGATTTGCATCAACTACTTATCCACTTAAGTATGCTTAGCCCATATCTTAATTCATAATTCGTTTCACTTTTTCTTATGTTTATCTTGTCGGCTACCCTAGAAAGGGAGCTCTGTATATTTAAGCCTAATATCTTAGGCTTGAATCTATCTATTCTTGTACCTTGGCTTGCCTTTATTTATTTATTTTAATGTATAAAATAATCATTGCCTTCAGTTTCTCAAGTAGGGCTGAAACTCTGAGCTCTACCTTGTGTTTTTTTTATACCTGTAAATCTAACTCAAGGGATTTTATTGGTACACAGGAAGCACTTGTATTTGTGATTTGTTTTGCAGTTAGGGTTTCGTGAAGTTGCTAATTTCTGGAGTTGGAGAGGAATAAAGTACTGAAACAGGCAACTCATGAGGAAGAAGAAACCTACAAAGCTCACACGCTCACACGCTCACACGCTTTACAAAACATTAGCTTCTTGGTTCTTGCTTTCCCCCAGCAACAAGTTCCCAGACATGTCTCTCTTACAGGCTTTGCTCAATTACCAAAATATCCTTGGCATACATAGTTCAAACAAATTGAGTTGGCCAGAAAGTTGTGTTAATGAATGTTTCATGTGTTTTTTTTTTGGGGTGGCTTTGTATACATTTATTTGTAACCTTCAATGCAAAGGGTGAAAAATGTATGTATGCTATGTCTTTTAGCATGCACAGTGTTCTCTCTGTCTCCATGTCAATGGTCGGGATCTTCTGTCTGGAATTTGTACATCAGCCTATTTGATGTGTTCCTTGTTGAGTTGGATAATGTTTCTATTTCTTTTTTGTGTTGAGTGTGTGGTAGTATTTCATCAAGTAACAGTACCATCGACTCAAAAAAAACAGAGTGGGGAAGAAGTGAGTGGTGGAAACACTGACCTCCACTCAAAAGTAAATTTAGACCACCTACGAACGCTGCTCTCACAGTAACTAACCATGTAACGAACATTTACCAAAACAATTGCTCACAGGACGAGCCGATCAACGATAATATCGTTATTATAAAGATGTAAGTTAAGTTTGTTCTAAGATTGTGGTCTGGTCTGGCCCTTAGCTAGGCGAATGAGTTGCTCTTATACTTTGCCTTCCCCAAAACGAATCTCTGAAAAGAAAATATAATCTCCAAGTCCCAATCGCAGGTGTTTCTAACAGTGTGCCTTTAGTTTTCTTTTCTTTACTCCCGTCATTTTATGATGTTTTTTCCTTTTCTTTACCTCTACAAGCATACAAACACAATACCAAATTTGGATGCAAGCTTTACCCCTCTCTCTCTCTCTCTCTCTCTCTCTCTCCCTCTCTCTCTCTCACTTTTACAAAATCCAACGGTTCTTTCTCGTGCTTTTGATGGATTATTGCACCGTCTTTAACAAACATGAGTGCTATTGTTTTTGTCATTATTGGAATGCAAACATCTGGTGGAATTATGGGGAATTTTCCACGTGTCAATTTCCCACTGATATATACTTCTCAAGGGGGTCTATATTTTGTGCTCATCATATAGTTGGGATTGACGAGGAGTTTTGCATTAGCTTTATTAAAATCCCAAGTATTATAAAGTACTATCTTCCCTTTATTCTCTGGGTCCTGGATGTTCCAACCCATTTGGAAAAAGGTTTAGTGTTGGTGAACTTGATTATGATTTCTTAATCCCAATTAATTTTCCAGCATCTCTCATAAGATTTGTCGCAAAATCTTTCTGGAAAACAATGAGATAGTGATGCTTCTTCTGTCTTTGTTTTATGATGGAAGAGTCTGCAACACGACCAGCTCAAGATCTCAATATAATCATTTTATAATTAAATGCATTATTAACTTTTTTTTGTTCTAGCTAATGTCAGATCTTAATCATGTTTGTTTTTACACAGATGGGTTCACAATTAATCAGCTGCTGTGGAAGAATCCAAATCTAGTCAGCATGATTAGTAAGAAAGTGAGGGTGATTGGGAATTTTTTTTTTTTTGAAAATATAGTTTAAGAACTTTGTTTTAATTAAGGGATGCAAGACCCATCCGCTCATTGTGTTTTGATATATTAAGCACAATCAAATCTTCATCTAGTTCTCTCTTATTCGAGCTCTTGCCTTTAGTTCTTTACACTTATCTATGAGATCTCTTTAAAATCTTTCATGGTGTACCACCATCCTAATTTACAATGGCTTTCTTGCTCTCAAAGAGCATACTCAAAATTATATATTTTGTGGTTTATAAGAGACTCGAGGCCTACTAAGGGTGAGTCAGAGTCAAACTCTCACCTTAAATGCGGACTAAGTACTCTACCACTAAAACTATAAGCTCTTACGTACTAAAATGCTTGAGACTTATAAGACATCCATTTAACATCGTAGGCTACATAATCATTTTTTTCTTCTTTTAACTTACAACTCTCTCTCACATAATCACAATCTAGCTGTTTTTCTTTTTTAAGTCATCACAATCTAGCTATTTTTCTTTTAAGTCACCTAAGAATGAATGTCGTTTCTAAACACTGGCTACTGTACGGCATGGAAACAGAAAATACGACAATGGAACTTCAAAACCAATAAACGACTACACATGTAAATATAAGTTAGGGGTTGAAGATTAAAGAAGATAAGGCCCTCTCCTTCCTTTATTGAGTTCACTTTGCATGCAGCAGCTGAAATGGTGGAAGCAAAAGGGTTGAAGATATTTGAAGTTGGGCCCTGTGAAGATGCATACAGAATGGGCTTCCTGATAGGCCAGAGGTTTTCGAACCAGATAAAGAGCAGGTTGGCCAGTGACCTCATTCTTCAAAACCAGCTCCTCCCTTTTGCTCAAACCCCAGTGGCACAGCAACTTCTCCAATCTCTCACTGAAAATAACAGAAACAAGTTTCCAAGATATTGGGAGGAGCTCATAGGAACAGCAGAGGGAAGTGGTGTGCCAGTTCTTCATGTAATACATGCTTATATGCTTAAAAATTAAATTGTCCCATTCATTAATTGCATTAATTGGTCACATTGTGGTTGTTTAATTATCATGTGCAGATTATACTAATCAACTTCAGGAAGGAGATTCTTGCATTTCTTCCTAAGACGGCGATAAACCCGGGAATCGATACCCCGGATGACTGTTCTGATGTTCTTGTTGCTAGTGAGTCCATGGCAGTTGTGGCACACAATGAAGATGCAAATGTTGCTTTGGTTGGCCACACGTATGCTCATTCTCTTTCTCTTGCATTTTTTCCACTTTTGCACATCTTGTGACAATAAGTCAACGTCTTGTTGACCTTTTTGCAGCTATTTGATAAAGGGAACTCTGCTAAATGGGCTATCGTTCATTGCTTATACTTATGCAGGGGAGCTCCCTAGCTGTGCATTTGGGCTCAACAGTCATGGACTGGTAAATTTTTTTTAACTATTTTGCAGTGCTTGAAATCAAATGACAGGAGCAAAAACAAATTGTTTCAATATAAGTTAAACCAAATTGTATGCTGAAAAAGTTATCCAACGCATACCCTACAGGCTTTTACGCTGAATTCAGTACCCCCTTCTGAAAGTGAGATTGTTGCTGGAGGCATAGGGAGGAACTTCATCTCACGAGACCTCCTCGAAGCAGCAAGCATTGATGACGCATTATGCGTAAGGCATGGTAGTGTTGAGTTATTTAAGCACCTGTGTTTGCTTAATGGTCAGTTGTTTTAATGGCTTGAATTGCCTCTTCAGAGAATCAAATCATCAGAAGTTTCCATTGGACATAGTTACAATCTGATTGAGACTAGGACACGCAAAATTTCGAATGTAGAAACTGCATCAAGAAACCGGGTTTCAGTTTATGAGGTCGGTGCAACACCATTCTTCCATGCAAACATGTATCTCCATCTGCAGGTTGATCAGGTAAAGCAAAATTGTATGCCAAACAGATCGGTGGTACAATGCTGTAGATTCTACACAGAAAAGTAAAATCAAATAGTTTGAAGCCGATCATTCAACTTGCTTCAATTTCAACTAAGTTAAAATCATTGGTTTCTGTGAAGGTACAAGATGAGAACTCAAAAACAAGGCAAAGCAAAGCGGCTGTGCTACCTAAAAGAACCAAAGAAGATTTCCTATCACTTCTAGGAGATACAGATGACCCAAAGTACCCCATCTACATGATAGGTGATTTAGAACATAAATTAAACTTCTTTTTTGTCCCCTCCAAGACATTCGTGGTAACACTGTTTGCCGTGTTTCCAGGTCCATTGCTTTACACTCTGTGCACAGCTGTGATTGATTTGGATGAACAAACACTGTCGATTGTCGAAGGGAACCCAAGAAAAGAAGAAATCTCTCACATCTTCTCTCTGTGTTCAAAAGATTTCAAAATGCCATAACAAAAGCTCCACGCAGCCTACTATTTCATCTAGTTGCATTTAAGGGACTTCTTCTGGAGCTCCTAGGCGGGTTCGTAGAGGCCTAACATGTGCCCATCAATACAACGCATGGATGCAACCTGGACACAAGATTGTTACATGAAATGCTGCATCCACAAAAGAAATAATAGAAAAATAAGTTACGTCAAAGTTCTTGTTAGAATTTCGGTCATCACCTTGCCATGAATTTCATATTTGATGGGGCCATCTAGCTCAGCACCTAAAGCCATTAGTTTTGTCATTGTTTGATTAATGTCCTTCACTGTGAAAGACAGAAGTGAAGAGTATCCCATTCGATTCTGCATGACATGATCACTGTGAAACTTGATTAGCAGCTACCATTTTCGATCAAATAGGTCCTTTATCTCCACAACCATAATTGTTTTATTGTTTAATAAACAGAAAACCCAGTGACACCATGTTAATAGGATCAAAATCTAAGAACCAGAACTTCATTTTTATGTCAACACACAAACACATACAAAATGTAATATTTCATGGCAATGGGTGAGTAAACAACTCTTGTAGACAAATAAGCAAACAGGTAGTGTGCATAAAACTCCCAGTCTTGGGCAGAGAGAGTTACTTGGGGGATTGCATGAGGGCAAGTTTGAGTGGGCCGGACTGAAGCTCAGCCCAGCGAAGAGTACAGACATCGACGGTGAAGTCCAAGCCTTCCGAGTAGAACCGAGCAGCTTTTGGCACGTCCTTGTGCAGCTGTAGTATCCACCTAAACGACGCCCCTGCCATCTCTCTCTCACTTTATGGAAAGCTGGGAGGGACTATAATATGTTGATGAGTAGGTAATTCTTGTCTTTCTTTTATTTTTGTCTATACTTCACTAAATAAATATGATCAAAATATTTAGATAATTTAAAATCATTTTGTTAAGCTTTATTTTTGTTTCATCATATGATATGATGACAAGAATTTTTTATTATTTTATACAAGCGATATTGGAGAATTACAAACCCCTTATAAAATTGGCAATTTTTTACACGTTGGTTTTAACTTCTAATTGATTCCATAATGTGAGTTCAAAAACTTATTAAACATACAATTTAGGGCTTTTTTTAATCACTGGAAGAGGATTCAAACTTGGAACTTCTTCCAACATGAAGAAAAAAAGTACCACTAAAGAAAGTGACCTATGATTTTCTTTCCTCAACTTTCTTAATTTTCTTTCCCAACCTACATTACATGGCACATTATATGGCCATAAAGCATAACTCAAAATTGTTGTCGGTCTTCAACTCTTTATGATCTGTTTAGGCTATGGAACGTTTTAACAGTACACCCATATACAGACTTCTCTTTTAAAACCTACCCGAGAGAGAGAGAAACAGAACTCTAGTGAGTGAAGACAAAGATATCCATATGAAAAGAGTGTGTCACGGAAATATTCACAAGAAGCAAATCCCCACAACCAGCGGGCAATGCAGGATCAGCAAACCCTTTCAGAGTGTTCAAGCCAACATCTCCTAAGAAGATCAAGAGGTGTTTTTGGAAGCTTTTGAACGCGACCGCTGTCCCCTCGACCTTGCTTCAAGAAGCTTTGCCTTCAAGGTGTTCTCCCTTGTCCTTGGGGGCAACTTTGAAGAAGATTCGGACATGTCACGAACCGGGGATGCCAGTCGTGCCATCCACTGTCTTACTGGACTTGGCTGGTTCCTCCATCCAGTATTACTGCAGGAAGCCTCATTGTAGTTATTTTCAGAATGTACATGCCCAACATCTGACATCAAAAGTTGACTTCTTATACGGTTTTCAGCCATGTGATTCGAATTGGAAACCTGGCTTTCACCTTGTTTATTTCCTTTTCTGTAAGTCTCGTCTTCTGTGGCTTCACAATGTTCAGACATTTGGGGTATGCTTATTTCGGTTGGCTTCCCTTCTTCTGTTTTCCCCTGCTCTTTATTTACTATCTGGGACTTATCATTTTCATTGCACGACATGGCCCAAGCCATCTGTTCTTCAAACTTAACTTGCAGGCTGGAGGGAGTACGGCTTCTTACCCTTTCAGGTTTTTTCTTTGAGGGTTCCAATTTCAACTTTTCATCAATATGATTATCCACAGCTTCATCCCCATGCAATTTGAAGTCACTGTTGGTTGGCTTATTGAGCTCAAAACAATTTGAATCACTGCCTAAAGAATCATCTTCTCCACCCATGTCTTGAGGCGCACTCACAGCCTCATTCAGAGGGGCAGATTCCAGTGAGTTCTTACAATCCCTTGGCAACAAGTTTTCAGTATTCTTAAGAGTGCTCATATGTTTAGCTCTAAGGAAGGTCTCTATTTCAAGGCTTAATTTATCCACTATTGAGTTCTTTCCTGAAAAACCACACTCGGCTTCTTCTAGCTGCATCTGCATCCGTTCATCCATCCATGATTCAGAAACATGGAGAATCAATCGATCACGATCAGATCTTCCAGTCCAATCTTTGTCAGATTTCTGTTTTAAAAAATGCACCTCTTGTTCATATTCTTTTATTCCCTTAGCAAACTCATCACATAGATCTTCCAACAACTTCCTTGATTTTCTCTCTCTTTCAAGCTCTTTCACAGAATTGGAAAGAGAAGATTTCAGCTCAGAAAGCTCCCGCGCTAACTTCCTGTGTAGGCTTTCTGATCGTTTTCTTAACTTCCTCTCATCCTCTAGCTCATCCCTCACTGATTGAACTGCAGCATGGATTCGATCCTGTTCTTTGCTCTTCCTAACTAGTTTATCTTCTCCAATTTGCTTCATCAAATCATCTAGCTCATGTCGATCAGCTTGCCGCACCCGAACCAACTCTTTGATCTTGACACGGGCGTGATCCAACTCTGCTTTCAATGCTTTTATTAATGCTACATTGGAGGTATGCTGTTCCTCCAAGCTCCAAATTCGGTTCAAGACTTTCAGAAGTTCCGTAGATGTTTTAAGATTATAATGTGATCCACCAATCCTTCCCTTAAAGTCTAAAGAACTGCTAGGAGTGACTGCAGGGTCATAAGGAGCCACCTGAAAAAGAGAGGTGAGAAACTATGCAGAAGGTTTGAGAGCATAGAAAGATTTGTTATAAATGAGGCACTAATGAAAAAACTTTGCGAATGATACTAATAAGACATGCTTCACAGATGATAAGCACAGCTTCAATCATCATACACACTTTACAGACACCTGATTCATACAAGAAATATTGGAATACTATGTGTTATGTGGTTCCCTCATCATAATCTTGAATGAACACAACACAATGCTCATGGAACATAATTACAGCTTGTGCTTTCATAACATTGCTTCTCTCTACTGGCCCAAATCTAGGTGCAACTTCTTGAAATTTCAAGAATACTTAGTTCCATAGTTTTCCATATAGTATAAGGACACAAATTAGACAATCTCAGTTCATGCATTATGAGTTTGTGTGGGTCACATCATACTATCCTAGTGAGCAGTAACCCAAATGAAAACTGCCTTATTTCTACTAAAAGAAAATTTTGTAGTAGTAGCACTGCCAGAAGAAACCAAATTGTCTTATATCAAAATCAACTTTGCTTACGATCTCAATTTATATATCCTTCAAAATAAAGGCCCAAAAAGCATTTGACTAAGCATAAACAGATGCTTACCTCCATGGAACTACCATAGCTTGCAGGAGATACAGGCTGCAAGACGTGATTGTTCAACTTGTTTCTTTCGATGGTTCGATGGTGTTGCATCAATGATGCAGCAATATGCCTCCGCAAACTGCTTGCACTTTCTGGCTGGATTAGGTAATCACAGAAAAATCAGTTGCCAACTGAGAAACTTCAAATTCCACTGTTTCTGAGGATGGATCAAACATGAAAGGTATTGCAACTACAAGTGCATACTTCTTTGGATAAAGTCTAGTTCATTGTGTTTTAGTGTAAAAGAAGGAAAGGGGAGCACAATCAAGTTCCAGAAATCCTAAGTTGGCATCAACAAATTCTAATCTGGTGCTGAGTGGGCAGAAAGGAGCGTTTTATCAGTATGAATTTATTAATGAAATAGCACACTGAACTAAAGCACTAAACTTAGAACATATAAAAAATTCTAAAAATTATATATTTCTTTGGAAATAAAGAAAGGAAGAAATAATAATAAGCATTGACCATCACTCATACGTAACCCTAAGGCTCCATAAATCTCACAGAAACAGCAATAAATCAACACAAGCAGCAAAAGGACAGGATGTATCCATCAACATAAATATCATTCCTTCACATGATCTGGCCTCTTTCAAAAAAAAACCAGAGCAAATAACAAACAAAAAACACAGACCCAATTTTTCTTTTGGTATATAAAACAGACCCAATTTCAACATCAATCAGATACAAAGGAACAAATTTACACAAACCCAAAAAAAAACCCAATTGAAAACATACCAAAAACTTTGGAAAGGAAGAGACAAAAAATTCAGAACCAGTACCTGGTCAGGAGAACTGGGAGAATTATCAGCCAAAAAGTTAGACAGATCAAGACCCTTGTCTTTGCTGAGGTGGTGGTGGAGCTGAAGATGTCTTAACCTAGGAGGTGGAGCAGCAGGACCACCATTATTGTGAGGAGCTCTGTGCATCTTTGAGAGGGGGAGATAGTGGTAGTTTTGAAACTCCCAAAGAGCAGCAGCGAGCTTTCTAGCTGAGACAGAGGAGGTGGTAGTGTTACTGGTAAGGTGAGGGTCTTTAATGATGGTATTATGGCCAAAAGGGCAAAGTCTCCATGAGGACAATACTGGAGTACTTGGGCCACTTCTGCTTTTCCCTCTCCTCCTCCTCAACTTTTCTCCCAAATTTTCCTCCTTTTCTGCTCCCCCTTCCCCACTTTCTCCTTCCCTTTTCATCTCTTTCTCTCTAGGCTTCCTTTCCCCAATGCTTCTTTCTCTCTCATCTTTCTTTTCTCAATAAAAATATTCCTTTTGGGTTTGGAACTACAGTTGCACAGTGGTGTATAAAAATGTTC